CACACGCACACGCACACGCACACGCACACGCACACGCACACGCACACGCACACTCACACGCACACGCACACGCACACGCACACGCACACGCACACACACACACACACAATTACTGACGTTGCCACACCTGAAGCTGCTAAAATTACTGCCGTGGGATATTTTTCCTACGTAGGAAATACACATGTGTACTGCACTTTGTTGGTGTGAACACGCAGAGTGTAGAGACCTCTGCACCATGACAGAATAACAATAAAAGATAGGGCACTGCACCGTCACAGGCTAAAATACAGAGTATTAAGGCGCTTCATCCTCTCACTCCTCGTCAGATAACGTATCCATTAGAAACATTCTGCAGTCGATAAAAACTCGTCCACCTGTTCTATACAGAGAGAGAGAGAGAGAGAGAGAGAGAGAGAGAGAGAGAGAGAGAAGACATACAGAGAGCTTGTCACTCATTCTAAAGCCATGCCAAGAGCATAAGCACGTTGGACTCCTCATACTCTCAAATATAATCCTGTTTCACCACAGATCATCACGTCAGCGTTTAACATTAGATGTAGAAACCTGAAGCCCCATCTCTTGGGCGAAATGGACGATTAGTTGAATAACAGCACGTAACATTCGGCTTGCCACAGTCCCACCATGGCTAAAGCAAGTGAGAATGAAAACTAAATTGTAAATTGACTCATATGAGTAGATGCTGCATAAAAACTTCACGGAATGCCAGCTTCACAGTAGCATACCATGATTCCTGTATGTACAGTAAAACAGCAGCACTTATTAGTCTCTGCTCGATTGGACAATAGCTTCAATGTTTTCAACATAAGGGATTCCATATAAATGGCAGATGATGCAAAATTTCTGCAGAATATCCAATACATCTGGCATGCAGTTGAATTAACAACGATGGTATTTCTACCTAATTAATTGACTAAACTTAATTAAATAAACCTAGCAGGCAGTGCCAGGATATACACATGTATATGTACAGGTCAATGTAAAATGGCATAATCACCACCTCTCTCTTGCTCTGTCACTCCCAACTATCTTTTCGTCTCTCAGGAATGATAAGAGGCATTTTTAATTTAAACATACGTATTCGATCCATGCATAAAAAGTCTACTTAAAAATAAATAAAATTGACAAAATATAGTTTCTCTGTAAACTGCCAATATCGCTTGGACGCAGAGCGTTTTTCGTGTTCCCACCCAACAGATGGCGCCACGTTGTGAGAACACCGTAATTTATACGCACAAGCATACTTCATTGTACACAAATCCCATTCAAATCTTTTATCAATAGCTTCTATCACGAATGCTGGTACCATCTGGTGGTCTCGCATAAAACAACACGCAACTAAAAGGATCATTCTACTGCCCAATTCGCCTGTACACACATATGATATCTAACCTACTACTCGAGCTCCAACTACTGACCAAAGACAACAATAAATAAATACAAAATAAAAGATTTTGGTGTTAGTTGTCTTGTCGCGTACAATCGGTGGCCAGCAGCGGGCAGCAGCAGCAGCAGCAGAAGTGGCCTTACGACAGGCGACGATGACACAGCAGGCTCTACGTCTCCCACTCACGCACGTGTTAGTAACACGTACAACCCCCCTTCACGACCCAAGTCGGCGCATCTTCTCGCGGGCGATTACGCAAGACGAGGCCCCCCACCGCAGCCTCCGGATCCAAACGAGCCGTGTCATCACCCTTATAACCTTTTGGTACGGACGGCTTATCACCGTGGCAACCCCCGATTCAGACGATGCGTCACCACTGCAAGCTCTTGACGCGCAGACTCCTGAGTTTCATTTAGACATGTATACGAGGATGAATTTAGGTGTAGACAACCATTGCTATGCACGACCATTTTGAACCATACTATAACTACATTGCACATTTTCTTAATGATGAGTTTTGGTCTTCTGTTCATGCATGCATGCACGCAAGTACACACAGGCTGAGAAAGAGAGAGAAAGAGCTGATGTGATAATACAACCATCACCTGAGCTCACAGTAGTACAAGGGGCAACCAACGCACATTGCACAGATGAGAGAAACTAACAGTGGCATCATTAACGGTGCCATATGGTTTCCACTTCAGTCATTGGCTATGGAAATTTCATTGGAAAGCCTTCTCTTGCCGCCCCTGGTGGCGGTCAGCACACGCCATGGAGTCCTGACATCAATAATGTTTATTGGACCATCGACTCGGCATGCCTCTCTCTCCTCACACCAACACTGCCTCCGCGAAGTGAAACGCTTGTCTGCTGCATGTTATGTGCTGGAGCTTCTGAAACTCTCTCCCTACCAGGAGACTCCACACACAACACGTTCCGGCCACTATTCATCTCATGTCAGCCGAGAACGAACGAGACGGCACCTGTGATCACTGCCCATCGTCACGCAGGCAATTGGCTATGCGACAATATTTTCTAGAGATTCCAGCATGTAGGACAGCAAGCCATCACTGTTGATAAAGCAGATAGTTCTTCAGCGAGTTGGGAAGCTCCAAATTCTGTATGTCAGCCAATCGGTCTTTGCCCAGCTGTTTGCGTATGACCCTTCGACAGATGTCCATCAGCGGCAGTGGCTCAGCTGCAAAGGACAGGCACACGTAAGTGTCATGTTAAATAATACAACGCGATGCAAACTGCACACAACTAGACAGCATTTACAATTGCAATTTCATTTCCAGTTAGTCGATGAAAGACCTATCTATCAGCCAACTAACTCGATGTGTAGACAGTAAGCTGCACAGCTGGGTCAGTATTGTAAAATACCAATAATTTAATCTCACATTCTGATGGGTACGTCACACACAGTGAGACAAACTAAAAGGCATTACTGAAAAATGTAATCAATAATCTCGCAAAAAAAGAGTGATGCGTGTTATTTTATATTCACTAGCCTCTGACAATTTATTTAAATGCTACACAGGTCTAACCAACCGAGAAACATATGCTGATAGACAGCAAGTGTATATTTAAGTGATATCGGAAAGTCCAGCTGTGCTATTTAGGTCATAGAAAAAGGGGGTACAAAATGGCCGAGACACACTTAGGAAACTACATGATTAATGTAAACACTCGTGCATTTTTAGTTTTTGCATTAACACAAACATTGCAAAATATCCCAAATGACTACAATCATATTTGTAAATGTTTCTGTAAACAGAAATGCACATGTGAATTGGAGTACGATGTTAGTGAAGAGAATTATAGATCAAACCCCTAGACTAGTCTTATCCTATATATAGGCAACTTATACCCCCTCTTATTTGATCTCAATATAGCAGCAGGGACTTTCCGATATGGCTTATTGCTATGATAATCTTGAATATGAGAGTATAAATGCATTTTGCTATAGACAGTTGTGAATAATTTAGTGATAAGCATTTCTCTATTCATATCCTCACATTTGTCAGTCACCAAAAAATACAACTTCCAAACAAATAACTTTCTCCCGGCAGAGTAGTAATAAACACAAAAACTATTGGTGGCTCAAGATTCTTATTCTTTTTTGTGAATGGATGAGCGAGAACGTAGAACGTATGCTTTCATTTAAGATTCGTTGCAACTTTAATAGCATGAAACGTGACGCAAATGAAGCAAGGCACGTGATCGAATACTCGTGCTACAATATGATGACAACATAACCAATCACAAGAGACATATATATATATATGAAGATATAGTACACTGCTGCTAACCTATTACCTTTATTAATACCAACTTTTATTAGTTTGTAAAAATTTAACTTTAATGTTTATTAGGTTGTAGCAAGTTTAACAGCATGTATTATACTACATCTAATGTTCACTCAAAATCTAAACTCGTGGTCAGGCAGCGTTTTAGGGATAGGCTTGTACCTAGTAGCACTTTAATCTGCACGATGCTATAATTTTTATCCAAATGCCGAGTGTTCTTTTAAAAATAGAGCAGATTACGAGGTGCTGACACGCGACCGCTAAACGCGATACTTACGATCAAGGCCGCCGATGTATCGCATCGTGATTTCACAGTGACCCCACACGGCGCTGACTATGGGGTAGAGCTTCTTGCCCTTGAGCCCGCGGAATGCTACTCCCAAGTACTGGCCGTCGACTATGAACGACAGCGTGCCCTCATCCATGTCGAGCACGATGGTCGCCTTGTCCGGCACGACAAAGTTCTCGTCCGGGTTGAGTAGCCGCGGGTACACCTGGCCGGGGCAGTTCTTCATGTCGTGGTAGAGTTTGTTGCGACCGAGGTCCCAGCCCCACGAGTCCTGCGTGGTGCCAACCAGCGACTGGTAGCCGACGGAATGCAGCGGCGCGTCCTTGGTGGCGACGCCTATCACAGCGTGCGTGCCGCGCTGCCTCGTCGACCAGTGGATCTCCCAGACGTGCAGGCCCTGCGTGAAGCCGACCTTGCCACGTATGCAGTCGGTGCTCTGCGCGACCGGGTGCCGGTGGAACGTCAGCTTGTCGTCGTCCTTCACGAAGATGTTCAGCGAGCGGTCGTCGTTGTTCCACGAGTGCGCCACCTGCGTCTCGTGCGCGGCGACCGGCATGTCGAGGAGCATGTCGAGCCGCGGCGGCTTCACAAAGTCCTGGATCATCGCGAGGTCCTTGCTGAGCATGCGCCCAGCCGACGCCGAGTCCCGCGTGATGGTCTTGATGCCTCCGGATACCTTCTGACCCATCGTCATGGAGGGCAGCTGCGGATGCCGGGATGAGGAATGCGGTGCTCGTTGCCGCAGGCACTCCAGCTTTGTCGATCGTCTGCAGCCACCTCACACTACTGGCTTCTCCTTCACGCGCTCGCTTTGCTTGCCACTGGCATCTGCAAGGGAATGAATAAGAATGTAGAAGATGCTCATTGTAAGAGTAGAGCAAATGATGCAAATTCACAAATGTCCGTCTACCCGTCAACAGTACAGTGGTGTTTGTGCAAGGATAGGTAGAGGGGTAGGGAGTATCGATGTACTAGACTAGGGGCACTGCAATGGTTTATGAAGGTCTGGCGTAACTGTGCTGCCTTTCTGTACTCAGGCTATGATATATAGTGATGATGTGATGCTTGCTGTTCATGAATGACGCACCATAAAACACACAAACGCTACAACATCATCAGTTATTGACGATTAACAAGAGATCAACGTTAACGAGTTGACTGCGCTGCTCGCAGCCCATCTTTCACACACAATCACTCCCTTGTCACTAATGACCAGGTCACCAGATCTGCTTTTCCCAAGCGACGCAAGGGCTCTACGGAGCTAGGAAACAAACCGTGACATGATTTCATGTGCCTGCATATTATGGCAACGCGTGCTACAATCACGTATCCACTCCAACATGTACAGAGTTATGGCACGAAGCGCCAGGTGCACACGAGTGCACGTTTACGACATTGATTTATCTACGCATCACGCAGGCAAGAACGGCTCGCCTTGAACTTATGCCGCAGGAGTGCATGGCAACCCAATTGAAATTCTTGGCGTGTGCAGCAGTCAGCTTCAGCTTCAGCTGATGCTGTAGGCGGCAGCTTAGTTGTCAGTGCAGCTACAAGCAATCTGCAGAATGAATGCCACAGTACTGTTTACAAGCAACAAGAACAGCGCTGCGAACATTTAGAGTTTTAGACCTATCAAAATCCAGCAATTGCTGGCCGAGGTGTGTGCGAGTGCGTGCCTGTGCCTGTGCATGTGCCTGTGCCTAGCTGTGCCTGTTCCTGTTCCTGTGTATGTGTCTGTGTCTGTGTCTGTGTCTGTGTCTGTGTCTGTGTCTGTGTCTGTGTCTGTGTCTGTGCCTGTGCCTGTGCCTGTGTCTGTGCCTGTGTCTGTGCCTGTGCCTGTTCCTGTGTGTGCATACATGTATGAGTGTAATGTAAAGTAGTCGGCAATATAAAACACACAAGCCCACAAGGGACATTCTAACAATCAACTCTTCTCTGGAAACATAACAACTATCACGTTGCTCTCACTTACCACTGTGTTTAAATTTACTACAATTAAAAACATACCACTACAGTAAAAATTTACTACAATTCAATTCGCTATATGTACACTGATACCACTCCCTTCTCTCCTCACTACAGCCCTGCTAGGTCAGCGAACTATATATCTGGCAGTAATTCTCGGCTTTCTTTGTGCCCATAATGCCTGCGCCACTCACTGTGTACCAGCGGTTCTGTTACCTAAGCGCGAATTGCGCTCATGCTGGAAGTCTGATCAATAATGTGATGATACAGCTGACGTGTGGCACTAGCCAAGTAACAGAGACCGGAGGCCAGACAAAGACTGAGCACATATATATGCTGGACGTTGTAGGCAGATACCACCCTGGGTCACTGCGCAGATAGCTATAGCAACTGAAAAGAAACAGTGCACACTCGGTAGGCCCCCACGATAGGAGATATAGTTTGTTAGCTAGATAGGCTATTATTATCCTTACTCGGCAACGTTTCAGTTGATATATCGATATTGCATCAGCGACGTAGCACACACGCACACCCATCCATACACACAGCTGCGTTTTACCGTCAAAACAGGGTAACTAGTGCGTAGGTGTTCAACATTGTACTCAGATTAATTACTCATCCACAACTCTGTGTTAGGATTGTCATGCCGAGTGAACTAGTAAAGGTACAGCTGCGCGATACAAGCTTTGTTTGAGCGCTAGAGTTTGCTCACCTTACCTGTGCGAACGCCTCCCCTCACCCACAAAACTCATCCCCGCCCTCCGTACTGCGAGTATACACTAAGCGCGCAGAAAATAATAGCACCACTATTTCGCGACGATGGTTTTTCTAATAGGGTCAAGGAGACCAACTAGTTATTCTGGTTTCTCGGGGTGCCTTTTAGGCAAAAATGGAAAAGTGCAAGTAGAACTAGTTAGTTTGTAGTTCGAACGGATGTAGTGACTGCCCCCACCCCAATGCTGAACATAGTACCCGAGAAAATGCGAGCAATGTGTCAATAAATACTGCCAGGATCTAGAACACAACTGAATAAAATAATAAACTTTGACGTTTCGTGACATTTTTTACGCGGACATCAGACAAATCGAGGTAATCTTTTACATGTATTTAAATTATCATAATAAGTATTGAATACTTGTCCACTAAAATTCGAACGCTTCAGATAGGGGGAGTATGCAGCAGAGTGACGTACACGTCGAGGAGGCTGTGGATATATAGTGACCGCCGATGTAATAATAGGTGAGAGACAATCACAGCAAGCCAAATGCCTGTTACACATTTCGTACGGTCAGGTTCCACTATCCCGTTTTTATCGTGGATCGCGATACCCTTCAGTCACTACATAGGCACAGGGACTTTCTGACGAACCCCCTTGGTAGATTGACGGGTATCAGACACATCTTAATACCCGCTGCCGTGCTAAAGCGCTCTCAGCTAGGGGGATTAAAACAGGCAAACCTCCATAATGGAGAAAAGCCACATGTCCTCGTATGAATATTATATCAGCTGCACAAAGGAGCAATGTTTTAGCCAACTGTACGGTGCGTAGTATGACTCAAACACATATAATCAATGGCGCATAACAGGTGTGTACATCCGCCCCCTGGGCACACGACTGTACGCACAGCACACATGCACACCCGATATATACGCGTACGGTGTTGCTTGACCTGAGAACACGCACCCGAGTGCGTCTCTTATAACGTATTTCCATATTTTCATAATGTACACAATGATTACCTATATGTCATGGATGATGGCTCACCATGTGATCGTGTTTTACGATATAAAGGAAGTACAATTACGTTAGGTTTATATATATGTCAGGCCTTACTATCCCAATAATGAATGTGATTCACCAAATTCAATTACATCTACGCTGCACGTGTCTTGTCATACAATGCTGTCTTTGTCATGTTATATTTAAAGATATTACTTCTGTCATGTCTTACCATGTAAACAGTGTTTACGTCGTATCTTACCGACGTCTTTGTCGCCATGTCTTACTAGAAACCAGTCCTGAACTGAAATTAAAGCCATTTCACTGCTCTATATTATAACCAAACAGTCCATTGTCTCGAGCATTACTTTTCCAGTGTTCTCATTAGGAACCGGCCACCGGCCGAATTGACCGTCTACTCTGCTGTTTCGGACGGTTACAATTGGCTGAAGTATAATATTTAAAAAAAAAATTTACCCCCATTTTTTTTTCCCATTATAAATTATAAAAGATAATGAAAACCCTGCTTTTCAAATAGCCGCAGGCAGCCGCTGCAGATATACTATAAATGTGGTTCGCATGAGTAACATAGTAAGCACGCTTTGCCAAAATAGGTTCCAAGATCACAAGCAAGCCTATGGTACTGCTCATGCTGATTTCTGAATTTGCCACAACTGCCTGCACCATATTTGATCGGGCAAACAATAAATCCAGACAAGGACTTGCGACCTTGCAATAAATCCAGACTAGACATTCAATTGGTTTCACGCCAAGCTATGTTAAAAGTACGGTCAATCTGTAGCCGCAGCCTGTATATGAAATTGATTAATGGATCCTGAGGTTCGCATACGACGTGCGCCACAACCAAAGCTTCGCGTAGAGTTGTCAACAGTTAGTTATACACAAGTTACATATCCCGCGTTTAGCCGCCCGCTGATGGAATGAAGGACGCATAACACGGTTAACGCTAGGTGGGCTTCCCAAGTGTATGTAAGTAAGTAGACTTACTATATATATATATAGCCGACAGATATGTTAATTATAAATAAGTCTTTACGGAGCCTTTCATTATGTTATTGATTACTTGGGCACAGAAAGGTGACTGTTGTAAGGCTCATAGCTAATTGCTACTACTGCACAGTCTCAGACTCCCGGTGCACGTGTGCACTGCTCGAGCCATGTATTTACAGTGGATAGAAACGAAATGGAAATGCGTCACTTGCTGCTATCTGTCCGAGCAACTACCGCGGCGTTACATCAAAATAAGATGTAGAGAATGCTAGGCAGATAGGAGAGGACATCGAACTTACATTATTATCTACGACCAAGAAAGTAGCCGGACACCAAACGTAAACATTGATATATGTACGTAGATACACTTTCACTGCCGAGGGCACATCAACTCTCGTTGCTTCCCCGTGCACAGCCGTACAATGTGTACTAGCCAGTCTACTCAAACAGTAACGTCGCGGGCTGTAAAATCAATATCAGGCAAACCTGTCTGCCGCAAACACCTTTTGTATAACATAAAACAAAATATATTTCTCAACCAGCTTTTTTTTACTCCACTTTAATACCTGAGATAGATAGGCGGGCTGAGAATCAAATACACGCGCGTGCGTGCACGCACAATATCGGTACGACGATATCGCCTATCCTAATCACGCGATAACCTATACAACAGGTGGACTATCGACCAGTGAGTGATTCCTCTAGCGTGCGGTGTAAGTTTACGAGTCCAGGGGTAGAAATTTACTTTTGAACAAGGGACTACCCTCAAAAAGAGGGAGTCCACAGCAAAATGAGAGAGTCCGCAGTCTGAGGTTCAAAATTAAAGATATTAACAATAACGCATGCATGTGCTAATTTTTAAGATTCATGCAGTTGCACGTCTGCCAAATTTTCTTTGGACATTAGCTGAAAAAATACAGTAATTCCGCGAGGCCGTGCTTCGGAACAAACTATAGTTAGTATGGCAGAATTTTCAGGGAGTCACACGGACTCCTGCATATATATATATGTCAAATCAGGGAGTCCGTCAGGGAGTATTTGACTCCGTTAATTTCGCACCCTGCGAGTCTTTGGAAAGTCTTTGTCGAGGACTGAATTTGAAGTGTTGCATACACCTGTTCCAATTTTCAGTACGAAAGATATATTTAGTACTTCCCTCGGGCACGGGACAGCTATGTTTAAGGAGTCAAACGTCGAAAGAAATGCAGCGGACACGCAGAAAGCAGAACTGCCCCAGTTTTTATTCGCCGCAAACCGCACTACAATCTGGCCGAGACGCACACACTGACAATCACAGCAAATTCAGGTTACAAGGACGAAGCCTGTGCGGGAGCAGTTTGCCAATCATGTCAGGGTGTCACCAGTCTCACCAGCCTATGTAGCTACACCGTGCGGATGGGTGGATTGCCGTGGGAGGGTTTGCGCGGGTATGATATATGAAGCTCATTGTGCATTCCTGTCTTCTAACGTTTTGTGGAGCACGCGCCAATACAATGCGCAGACGGTAAAAATAGATCTACACATTCAGTAAACAATAGCCAGAGTTACGGATGGGCTGCGGCTGGTTAGAGAACGTTGGACTGAGTGGCAGCATGATGGAAAGTCATCATAGTCATGATCAAGCTAGCTGTGATGCTCTTGAATGCTTCCCACGCCATGTCAAACACCTAGTTGCACAGCTTGTTGGCACATTCCACTCGTTATCTGATGTTTAAACGGTTATTGCGAGATTTTTTGCTCAGAAAAACTCAATAAAGCTGAATACAGTCTCACCTGACAGCGGAAATATCACTGATTACACCAACATTAAAAATACTACGATTTTATGCAGTTATAGCATAGAAAAATGGATTTGACCACATCGTAACATCAATATATTTTATCGTATGCCGATAATGCCTAATGGCAGAATTGGTAAACTTGTATATTTGTGTCGGTGATGAATTGAAAACAAGTGCATGTCTGTACTATGTCTATGGCAGATAAGCGGTGGCGCCACAAGCTAATCCATACTTCTTGTTAGTTCAAGATGACAGAAAACGAATGTTTACAAAAGCGATTAGTTCGAAACAGCAGTATAGTTGGCAGTTTTCGGAGAATACGAAGGTTCTAAGACATTTTATTGTTACTCTAGACAATTGCTGTTACTCAAGCAATAACGGTTGGTGTCATGAAAGTGGTGAAAACACTGGAAAACTCTCGCAATAGTTACTTTATGGTACAACTAAAAATGGTGCATTTAACAATGACGTATGCGACCTTTGCAAACACGAACTGATCCATGCAGTGCTTACTAATGCATGCACCTGTAAGTAAATATTAGTAAACGGACCTACATGCTGACCACAACTATCACACAGACAATTAACGGCGCATGCTTCTTTCCTTATGTATCGTAACCGCTTGTACAACTCGTCATGTTGCAATGTCTAGGACTTTCTCGAAAGCATTTAGGTCTAAAAGTGAATTTTCTGTGGAGAAGGAAAATAGCCTCTGGCTGTATGTCGACACGGATGCTATAAATTGCTGCATTTTTGTCTCGCCGACATTTCTGAGTCTGCGTTGTTCTCATTCCAAGCTGACAATGTCTTAATGTGGCTGTGACTAGTGACACGCACTGGAAGGTGTGTGATGCGCAGCTTGACAATGCTTTTGGAAATGAGACGGATGTGTGCTAAACAACACTCACTCACTCGACTGGTGATGAAGCAAACACCTAGTAATTTAGCTTTATACCACATTCCACCCACTTTCCGAAGTAAGAGAGAATTATACAAGTATGGCCTAACGGTACCGACAGTTTCCGAGAATGCATAAAATACGTAAACACCTTCTCTAATTTAATGATCACGACAGATGAAAACCTCGTCAAATTTATTCGAGTTCTTGCTGGATAGTGGATATTTGGATGGTGGCTCCAGCATGCATCAATGTTATAAAACACTGCACACCTGCGGGGCTTACTGCCCGCGTGTGTGACGCGCCTCGTGTAACAAACCACTGTCTGAAACGTTCGAGGCGCGGTCAGTACCACACTACTGTACATACACGGTCATCACTCAATCAGCTGTTTTGCCTGACGTCAGCATTATTCAGTGCAGTTTGCACTAGTTATATCAAAGATTAACCCAAACGTTAACGAATAATATTAATAGTCGAGTACAGAATTACAAACCATATCGGAGTGAGTATGGCTATTGCTGAGTAAGCCCTAACACACACGGAGCTACAAACACCACTACACATTAAGCACGCAATTCAGCACAGAAGACTTTGCCAATGTCTGTACACGTCAATATAATCTACAGGTACGCAGGACTGCACGCGCGGTGCCCTGTACGCATTTGTAAACAGGCACCTCATTTTATGTCCTATTATATATAAACACGAGGAAATTACTAGCGTAATGAGATTATTTTGCGAAAGTAGTACTTAACGCTACGTTTTTCGTCGTAAAGCAGTCTACAGTACGAGCACTAATTATCCCCAAATTCAAAGCACCCTATTGCCTTTTTTGAAGAGCCTCACACAAACATTGTTTTATTGGCTTGTTACTTTTTTCTGATATTCCAATATCATCCTTTGGTGTGGCTGGCATCAATGCCGCACAACAGCCGCAGCGTAATTCGCCGCCATAGTGTGCGTGCGTGCGTGCGTGCGTGCGTGCGTGCGTGTCTGCGTGTGTACATGATGCAGACGTATCGTCATCATCGGCTACGTATGTACAGCACGGCAGGCGGGGAGTACAGTAGCAGCAGCCGCAGCAGCAGCAGCCGTAGCAGCAGCAGCAGCTCCCAGTGTTACACGCGCACGCGACAACCCGAGCATTAATAGCCGCACAAATGAGTGCATTATATATATACCCACGCTAATCAGTATGGATCCCGTACATGTGGGGTGTAGACCCATGTGGTCAGTGGCATGGCACGTGTTGCCCCGGCCTTTGGCCAGATTTAGATAATGGTAGCAACACGCGGAACGCGCAGACAAAGCGCGCAGCTGATAATGCCAGCTGGCCCCAGTGAATTGCTACTACTAAATTATACTTGAGGGGAGAAACAAAGAGTGATCGCAGACACTCGGTCTGGCCTAAGCAGGATCTAGGACCTTTACAGTGTCATCCCAGATCTCACTCACCCCACCAGCCCTGACCATAGGGCAAAGAGTTGTAAGAGATGTGACCAACGGTTAGATAAACGTCTCATGACCAGTTCGAGCCAGACCAGTAGGAGTAACCCTGAACTGCAGACCAGCCCATGTCAGACATGTCAACGTTTAACCCTGAACTGCGGGCCAAACGCTTGTAATAGATTTGACCCATGGTCAGACCGAGCCAGACCCGTTGGGGTGACCCTGAACTGCAGGGCAACCAGTAAAATGTAAATTGCCAGTGGGGCACACACTTTGCTGCGTGCATTATGCATGGGCTGAGTATTTTGACGTGAAAGTAAATATCATCGCACCATACAGAGAAAGTGTGCACATAACACGTATGACTGATATCAACTGGCATCCAAGCTATATATATATATGCTTTCGATATTACTGTATTCTGTTACAACAGCAAGTTTAGTCCAACGTTTTACACTATCTCAACTCTGTGGGAAGAGCGTTCACAATGCGACACTGTAGAGGGTCCCTGGGCCGCCTGGACACTTCACACGCCCGTAATAACCAGCAGTCGACCATTGCACACGTACATGTGCAATGCTCGTGACAGGAAGCTACAGATACGATAACAGTTCATGATTATCTTTGCGACCACATATGGCAAAACAACATATAAACGTCATCGTCGCAAACCATACAACTGCATGTTCATCACTGCACTGCTGCAAGTATATATATATATATATATATATATTTGTTGGCTCTGTGTGATTTCTCTCAATGCTGGCAAGATATCACTCGGATCAACAAATAAACTACAGTCAACGTTGTTAGACTCAGAGGATACCTTTATAAACCGAACACCTGTCTATAAAGTATAAAGTAAACTTTATGATGTTTCTTTGAATGACCCCTCTTATACATGTTTCACTGCTGTTTTTTTATAAACTCTACTATATTGCGTTCCCGTTTACTGTTAACTACTTATATTACAACATGTTGTATCTAATATTCTAAGTTTCAGTATTCGTCAGATCTGGATGGTTTCACTTCAGAAAATAACTTTAACGTTAACGATTTAGCTAATCATATTATGACATTACATGAGCATTCTTATTCTGTTACACTGTCATATAAACGCTAACACGTTTACCACTCTTAACACCTGCATACAAAAGCCTCTGGTCATTGTTGATCTAGAAACATACACGCTACGATTATATAAGGGCTGTCATAACATTTTCTCATCCTAGTATACAAGCCCATATATTTACTTACACACCTCACCAAACACGCCTAAATTCAACTTACGTTTGCAATATGGTCTAAACGTTGGCAACGAAAATCACAGAATGGCTGTTCTAGCACCAACAAACGCTTGCCGCTCTTGTCCTCTTCCTACCACAGCACCGGTACCGTACGATATGTAGAGACAACGAGTGAACCATCCGCTGAGAGACTAGGAGAATTATACGACTGTGTCAATGCGATGTGGCAACTTGCTTATATGAGACACCGGTGTAAGATCCGTGTGTGAACCTGACAGTGGGCAGCAGTGCCGTCGAAAAGGAGGATGCCGTTGGTAGATAACCGCCTGCCGGTGCCTAGCGTACGAATGACAGTCACCGGCGTGCACCAGCGAATATAACTTGCCCCACGCCACAATAGCTATGACACACCATAATCAATCAATAATCGCAGTAAGGGACCGGGCCCATTCACAATTCACAGATGCGCGGCTGAACCACCCCCACAAAGGACACCTCTGCTAGACGGACGATATCGTCTTGTGCGAGTATGTGCTACAGAACACGCGTGACGCTAGTGCCAGTCTATGGGACCGGGCCCATTCACAATTCACAGATGCGCGGCTGAACCACCCCCACAAAGGACACCTCTGCTAGACGGACGATATCGTCTTGTGCGAGTATGTGCTACAGAACACGCGTGACGCTAGTGCATCAGTAAGGGACCGGGCCCATTCACAATTCACAGATGCGCGGCTGAACCACCCCCACAAAGGACACCTCTGCTAGACGGACGATATCGTCTTGTGCGAGTATGTTCTACAGAACACGCGTGACGCTAGTGCCAGTCTATCTAAATGAGGCGGTCGCTATTGGCTACTACGGGCTCCTCGGGCTTACGCTGCTGGCTGGCGGCTGTGTGGCCGCACAAAGACCCAAAATAAATGTGTCAGGGCTGGACGTGATCTGCTCACGTCTTCGCAGTCTTGAATGGCGGCTAGACTGACAATGCACATCCAATGCCATACCCTCAACACACGGACGGAAAATCCGCACACTCCCATCTGCACGCACGCCTTCGGCCTTGTGGCCGCGATGCTAGTCTGTGTGTGCCCCCTAACCACACGCACCCCGACATAAAAACTAACTTAAACATTGCAGCGACTGACCCTGGGCGCGTCTACGTTGCAGGGCACACAAAACCAATTGCCCCACGATAACTTCACACAAAGATGACAGTGTCTAAGGGCACAGACGGCACGGCCATAGATCAAGGTTGCCGCCAACACTTTCACTGAACCAAGCCTTCGCATGAGCCATTCTCGGGCACCTCTAGAGAGACCGACCTTGCCCCCACATACCATGCATTGAATGCTCAGGTGAATATTAGTGTCACATACACTGGCACTCGAATTTTAAACGGAAAATTTTATTGAGATAAATGATATTTGGTATATCGTGTTTTTCCAATTACTTCTCTAATGACAAGTGTAGCGACCAATATTACACTCGAAAGTATATTTTAACTATACTCCCTTAAAGGCTCGCTCAGGTCGCCCTACGATTTGACTATCGACGACTACTTTATCGCCTATTAGCAGCGTAGCAACACTCACGTCGACTTGAAGTGCCTTCACACTATACATCGCCGATCAGATCGTAGCGTTCTCGCAGGAAACGTAGACAGCTAGGTTCGCGGCCCCAGTATTTGTACTAGCACAAGCAGTTCTTTAGCACAAACAGAGCAAGCTTGACGCCGGGCCAAGTTAACATAAAACGAGTCACGTACGTGACCAACAAAATGGCGCTTACCAGTAAACATCAGGTAACTTCGTAAATCTATCCTCAATTTTCTGAAAATCGTTATAATTATGTGCAGAAAAAAAATTAATGTGATATACGGAAAACTTAATATATATTTGAGAAAGGGTTTGTGCAATAATTAGCGGGCCTTAAGGCTAACTCAGGTCGCCCTTACGACCTAGTCGCCAACAAAATTTGAAAATCGTACGTCAAAAACCGGCCAGATCGCCGATAAAAACATCGGCGACTAAACTCGACATGAGTTCTCTTACGATCGAAAATACGGTCGCCGACTGCGATCGCAGGAATAGAAACGATTCTATAAATTTCTATGCGGCGGTCGGCGACAAATCGTGAGTGGCAGCCAATCACCGCTACGTGTCGAGTCACATGATTATCAAAAGTCACGTGATTAACACAAAATGGCAGCCTACACAGCAGTTTACAAGGAGGGATTATTGCACAAAACCCTTTCTCAAATATATATTAAGTTTTCCGTATATCACAGGCAATTTTTTTAATTCTTTTTCTGCACATGATTAACGATTTTCAGAAAATTGAGGATATGGTAGGGGCACACGAGCGATTTTTATCGCCCGATCGCCGCGAATTTTGAAATCGCTCGAAGAAATCGCCCGTGTGCCCGTTCACGTCGACGCCGATTTTAATCGGCCGACCGAATCGCCCGTATCCAAAATGTTAGATATTTTCGGGCGATTATTTACGCCGGGCGATTATTATCGCTCGTGTGCCCGTGACCGGCGTATTTTGTCGCCCGATCGATTTTTCTAAACCAATCGGACGTGTTGTTGATATCATGTAATGTTAAATGTTCTGTCGAGTGGCGTACGCGTACGCTCTCAAATTCGCTACGTCACGTGTGCCCCTTCGTGATCGGGCGATAAAAATCGCTACGTGTGCCCCTTCGTGATCGGGCGATTAAATTCGCTGGCAATTTTAATCGCCGCGATCGGGCGATAAAAATCGCTCGTGTGCCCCTAGCAATAGATTTACGAAGTTACCGGGTGTTTACTGCTGGTAAGCGCCATTTTGTTGGTCATGTGACTCGTTTTATGTAGACTGGTCCCGGCGTCAAGCATGCTCTGTTTGTGCTAGTACAAATACTGGGGCCGTGAACCCGTCTACGTTTCCTGCGAGAACGCTACGATCTGATCGGCGATGTACAGCGTGAAGTCACTTCAAGTCGACGTGAGTGTTGCTACGCTGCTAATCGGCGCTAAAGTAGTCGCTGATAGTCAAATCGTAGGGCGACCTGAGCAGGGCTTTACTCCCTTATATACTCCCTTGGTTATTCTCCTACCGTCCCCCCCCCCAACACTTGTGTAGCGTCACCCTATATGTTACACAATGACAAATAACGAATTACACACACTGCTATATAGTAAGCAACCTATAGTAATCACAACATCAGCACATGAGTGACCCCACGACAGTCACCTCATTATTAATACTCAAAAAAACGAAACGCCACTCCCTAAGGGATCTCACCATGAATTTGTTTGACTTGCCTATGACTCAGCCTGTCTCTCCACCCTGAACAAAATGGATTACCAGTTAAATTCTTGTCATGCTTCAAGAAGAGTGACTATGTCATCGTTAGGACTAATACCTGCTATTCAGCGGACCACGAATGCCGACCCCAACAATGGAACGGAGCGCGCGGTTCAAGGTTCAAGTACGAATGTTGTACGCGTACACGCTCCTCATGCAACACCGGTCAGGTGTGCCAGCCCACTGAATAGCTGATGACAGCAAGCAGGTTTACCTGTCACATACCTAGCACTAGGTGTGTGGGGGAAAACTATGCTAAAGTACCAATGTTACGTACTACTTGATGTAACATGCATGCTCTAATTATAAGGAAAATAAATATAGCGTTGTAATAAGAGTAGCAGTAATAGTAATAGTAGTAGTAGTAGTATTACTATATTAGTATCAATTGGTAGTATTAAGTAATAAGATAAATAATAATATTACGTATATTATATGAGGTATAGAGGTCATGTATCACCCCCTAGTGTTAAACTGCCTGAATCTTAGAAAAATTGGCTCTTAAAATAACAATGTTACATTTTCACACACTGTATGGAAACTGAGACAAATTTTAAGCTGAATGCTAGACCACCTAGATTTACGTTCCTTTGGGTGCTTATGGAAGAGAAAGTATTACCATGACATATTGTAGAACACGATTTATACTACAACGTTGTGGCATAGATCATGTCGTATGCACATGTTCATGAAACAGGTCACAGATATTTCACACACACAAGTCACTTACAATGAAGGACAGCCGGTCTTTCAGGACATACAAGATCTTTTTATACCTTCACTGATAATTACAAGGTATTACCCGCACCATGCAAAATCCTTGGATTTTTATGAATGAATGTCCCGCGACAAAAGCTGATCCTTGACTAGCTAATACTCAGTAGTACTGTCCACTTACTACTCGTACCTTGAAACCAAAATAGCTCTGTACGATTTTTACGTGAATGAAAATCTCAAGTACACTATGTTACTACTTAACCACCTACATGCCTGATGGCATTCTGATGAGGTCAAACAGGTAAATTTGACAGAGGTGATTGGCTGAGAAATTTAGAAGATGTGACTAATAAAGTCACTACAGCAAAAGTTCTGCAAAACTGCTGTTTTGTTCCAATACATTCCAATACTCAAAGATTTTATAAAATTGTTACAATTATGTCATAAAAATGCTTGTAACACCTTACAAGCTTACACTGGTAGTGGTAGGTTTCTCAATCTATAAACCGTGTTGTTTCTCGTGACTGGAGCTATAAGATATTAAAGGGATCCTTTACTCAAGTTCTAGGGTTATTTTCAGTTAATTTAGGTTAAAATTATGCTACATAAAAAGTTTCACGATTCAATCACCATTAGAATTTTTTTTTTTTTAAACTAACCACTACAGTTTGATTACAACGACGGTGGCGCCACTCAAAGCGCACGATCTGAAAAGTTGCGCAAAACGACTTTTCAGCCAAGGGCTACAGACCGAGGGTGTTTCTTATTTATAAATTTTAAAGCAAAAGGATTGTAATATCTTATAAATGACATATATAGTTTCAGTTATATTATGGATAAATTTGTCCTAAAATGAACATCGTTCGGTTAAATAGCATTTAGGTATAAATATAATTGCACCTTTGTGATTAGCTCTCGGTCTGTAACGTGCAAAATATATTGGGAAATGCGCAACTTTTTCAGGGTGGCAGCACGGTCGTGGGTGTCAATGGCGCAATTCAAATTTTGTAGCGTTGAATCCGTTGGTGTATAATTAATTATAACAATTAAATTAGGTATCTGGTAACAAACTTGTACGTGTGGGTATAGACGATTTGTTATACAGTTGTATGCAGTAAAATCCTAGAGTCTAGTATCCCTTTAAGATATTATAATTATATATCAGGTTTTCTTATACATAGGAAGCACAGTGGCGCACCGCCGTTGTCAAATTTAACATCGCCGTTGTAAAAATGTTCCTGTATTTACTGATAAGTATATCCTGTATCTATATAACTCAGTCTGCAAAATTAACCACTGGCCCGGTATCCGAGGCCAATAAAACTGGTAAATGAACAAGCCCGATGGGCCAGTAGAAAAAAATGGAGTAAATGGTCTATTAATAATATTTCAGCTTCTTATTTCGGTTT